TGCCTGCTCATTTGTAACGGCTAACCTCCAGCATCTCGATTGGGTGTTTTACTGATCTGGATCCCAGCACCATTCAGAGGAAGAGAATTCAGTTAAAGTTAGCATGACTTAGAGGTACAGGCAATATAGAAAAATGTGAGGGCTTCAGTATTGGTGCAAGAGGCTAAGTCTCAGTGCTATCAAGCTATCACCATCCACTGCAGGAGTTCAATTCCCAGCCAAGGAGTTAACCCACATGACACAGCAGACCTCTCCTGTCTCAACTGCTGCTCCCTCAGCAGTGTTATTTCAGTACACCTGCCTGTTCTGCTCCCCATTCTGTCTCTTATTGAATCCTGCCCCCACCACCATCACCACACCTCTGGCCTATACCCCAGTTCTCATATGCATAAAAAAGAAAATCTTAAAAATTTGAATAAGGGATAGGGAGGCAACCAGACAAAAGAACTGTGGGGACCATTCCTATCCCAGGACTTAAGAGACAGAGGGAGGAAATAGTGTTATAGGAGTTCTATGAGAGAAAGAAAGTAGGAAAGACTGCCGGTATAGAAAGTCAGTCACTGCTAAAGACACCATGCTAAAGCCGTCTTTCTATTAGCAGCTCTAACACAGAACTCAACTGGACAAGTCAGGAAGCCTAGAATCTGTGTTTTCAATCTACATTATACTTAAGGATGATTTTTTATAGAAAAGGCATCTTGTATGGAAATATGAATGAAAAATATTTCTTTTCCAAAATGCCTAAGATGGTATTAAGTTAACCCTTTACATGCTTGTATGGTATGATCCCTAATAATTACACAGAACAGAAGACCAGAATCCTGAGTTCAAATGTAGTCAGGGGAGAAAAATAAGCCCTGGTTTCAGTAACCAGGCTGTTTCACAGTGCCCTCTGGTGGCCAGTTAATGTCATGCATTGCTTTGTGTATTAAATTCAAGAAAGAATTCTGGTAACCAAACATTAAGTCAAGGTGAACCTTAGATAAAGTAGATTAAGTCTGTTTTCCAGTGATGCCCTATTCCAGCCCCATACCCATTGTGCTAGAGTAGAGTACATGGATTTGTGCATCAGGCTGACCTGAGAGCCAGCACTGGTTCCACCTCTTAGATGTTAATGAGTAGGACTACGAGCACCAGGACCATGCTAGATCTCCCTAAGTTTCTCTCTGGTCTTCCCTGTTAATGACAGAGTCCAATTTGTCACACAACCATGCTAGCCAATTGTAAGACATTCAGATGATTGTAGGGCTGGTGATGTAGAAGTAGCCCAGATTCTATTTTCCAGTCCAGCAGTCTGTTTCCTTGAAACCTCGGACTTTGCATGGCAAAAAAGCTTGAGGCTGTTTTTTGGTTTGCTTTCTTTTTCAGATGGGAACAGTACCCAAAATAGTAGTAGAAAGTGCTACAAATTTCCACAAAATCTTACAACAAATAGCAGAACAGAAATATACTCTGAAGACAATTCAACTCTAAGAGTAAAAAATTGAGAATTTTAAAAAAAATCTTGAGAAAAAAATTGAGACAGGGCCCTCCCTGATGGTGCAGCGGGGTAAAGCACAGCACTAAAGCCACTTCTGCATGAGTTCGATCCCCGTCTGCCCCAGAGGTGACCCACACAGCGCGGCAGGCCTCTCCTGACCCACCTGCTGCTGCCCTCAGCAGTGCACTTAATCAGTCGGCCTGTTCTGCTCCCCACTGTCTCTGGTGCCCCTGCACCTCTGGCCTGTACCCCAGTTCTGTATGAATAAATTAAAAAATCTTTAAAAATAAAAAAGAAAGAGGTGGCCCTCCCTGGTGGCGCAGCGGGTTAAAGCACAGCACTGAGAATCTAAAGCCGCTTCCACATGAGTTCAATTCCCGCCTGCCCCGGAGGAGACCACATGGCGTGGCAGACCTCTCCTGACCCGCCCGCTGCTCCCTTCAGCAGTGTACTTCATTGATCTGCCTGTTCTGTTCCCCACTCTGTCTCTGGTGAAGCCTCTCACCGCCCCTGAGCCTCTGGCCTGTATCCCAGTTCTGTATGCATAGATAAATAAATCTTTAAAAAAATAAAAATTAAAAAAAATGAGGCAAACATGCCCAGTTTCCCTCTCCCAAAATTAAATCAGTTAAGTCACTCCATGCGTCCTGGGGTAGAGAGAACAAAGGGACAGAATGGCCAGCTATATTACACGAATTTATCTCCCTCTATGTAGAAAAAACCTTTAGACTTTGAAATTGTAAGTCATGGCTAGGGAATATGTAGTTAATAAATCAACCTCAAGAACAAAACTGAGCCCACACTGATGGAGAGTGACCTCCAAGCCTCTAAGGACAAGTCATGAGAATGCAAGGTTGCCTCTCCACAAGTTCCTCCTTGGTGCAGATCAAAGGCTGGTATGTAGGGTTGCAGCTGGATCACTACCTGCACAGGTCTAGCATTAACAATATGAACTAGACTCCACTAGTGCTCTACAGCACTCACAGAACTTAGCTGCTTTCCAGTTTAAATGCAGCAAATACTCTTCTACGCATCAATGTACAAAAGTTCGACAAACAGGAAAAAAATCGGCATAGAGATTCTCATCTCTATAGTCAAATCCTTGCTCCAGTCACACCTATTTTCCAAAGCTACACCTACAACAGTCTACATTATAAGGCAGTGGGTCTCCAGTCTAAGGCCCCACCTATAAGCACGGGCCTCTCTGTTTGCTACTGCATCTCCAAGTGATTCTGATTCCAGTTTTCAAACCAAAGTTTAAGCAAAACTGACCCAAGTCACCAAAGTCAGCAGAGCTTTTGCCTTTTCTACTTATTGCACTAAGGCCTCACCTTCACTTTAGGGTGGAATCACATGCAGCGCTGCCTCCACAGAAATGAAGCAACACCTGGATAAAAACAGCCTCTCACCAGCAACCTGCCAAAGCGAAAATCCTAGATGGTTAGCACCTAGTAATTCACTTCAGCTTAAAACCATCTATGTTACCCTGCTAGAATCCTTGGTCATAGTGTTTTCTCTTCAATTTATATTTTTTGAGAACTCTAAGTCCTCACATATGCATCAAATATTAAGGGATTTTGAGAGTCCAATAAGTAACACCCCTGTAATTTAAAATACTGGCTCTTAACCACAGTGATAAGTTTGCCTTCAGGATACATTTGGTGATAACTGGAGTCATTTTCTGACACAAATGGAGGGAACAAGGAAAAAGAGGAAGGCTACCACTGGCATCTAACAGAGGCCAGGGATGCTGCTAACATCCTACAATACACAGGACAGCACCACAGCTAAGAATTACCTAGACAAAAATGTCAGTAGTGCCAAGGTTAAGAAACCCTTACTTAAGGTAGTACTCATTCTAAACAAAATGCAAGACAAAGCAAAAGTATATACAGATGTGAGTTAGACCATCATCTTTATTAAGAGAGCTTATCTGTAAGCAAGCAATCATCCTATTACTGAAATGCAGTTGTAGCCATAAGCTATTTATGCCTCCCAACTTGAGACCTGGCTCCTCTAAATTTCTAGAATGTTAAAGCTAAGACCATGTGCTCGCGGCAAGCAACTAATTCCTGGGAGGAGGAAAGTTATGATTGCCCAACTCCTATACAAGAGGGAGTAAAGAGCAAAGAAACATATTACACTATTTAATCTTCCCCAAAGGGAAAGAAGCAACAGGAGGAGAAAGCATGCCTCTCCAACAGGATGTGAAGCAGTGGTATGGGGCAACAGGTTCATGCCACCTTCTGACAATAGCCTGTTAAACCCCTGGAAAGTCTGCAAGTCAGCTGTTTAGCCCTCAACAGTCTGAAATCAGCCAGTAGCACTTACACCAAGGGGAAAAAATAAAAGCACAAATCAGTTGTTTTTTTGAGGAAAAAAATGTGGATCCTTTTTTACATGGAAACACTAAAAGTGAAGATGGATTAGAGACTGAAATGAAACTGGACCTCCTTTGTGGCCTAGGGGTTAAGTCACATTGCTATCAGCACGAGGACCTGATCCACAACCACAGAGCTAACCCACATATGGCATCAGCAGCTGCTCCCCTCAGCAGTGTGTTTCAGTAGACCCACCTGTTCTGCTCCCCACTCTGTCTCTGTTGAGTCCTCTCAACACCTGCACTGCTGCTGGTCTACCAACCCAGTTCTTCTATACATGCATAAATAAACTAATAAATCTTAAAAAAAAAAAAAAGAAAGAAAGAAAGAAAGAAAAGATTGCAATGAAACAAAATACAGTACCAGAAAAACATATAGAGAGCAAATGAGGTCTTCCTAATTCATGTATGTGAAAGACAAAAGCCACACAGAATGAGATCAACATATGACTACACGATATCTATCATTTAAGTCCAAATAACCACCACTATTAGAAATAATCAACCAGGGAAATCATCAGCAAAATACATGACTTAGAGTAACCTAATAAAAATATTTCATTTATCCTAAGGAAAAAAAATGTTCAAAGATTTGAACAATTTCAACAGTTTCAAATTGTTGTGGCCAATAAGTAGAAATCCATTTAATGAAATGAAATGCAGGCATTAATTTGTTGAAATATGTGACATGGAAAAATGTTCATCATTTAAATTCAAAGTCTTAAATGGAAGCTATAAAACAGTATGTAAAAGTTTGTAAAAATAAAATGTGCATAGTGTACTGGAAAAGTCTAAAAGGACATAAAGCAAAATGTAAATATTTTCTTTTTACTTTTCTACATTTCTATAAATGCACATATTACCTGTATATTCTACTTATTTCTTTTTATACAAGTTAATAGAATTTAAGGTCAGTAGAAAAATCCTTATTACAAAACATCAATTTTGAATTTTATAAAAAAATCATTTTAAGTTTTAAGTGCACATCTCAAATCCAAATCTCATCATTTCATACAATTTTTGTTTGAGAATCAAATGATCATGTAAATGAGAAAGCAAAAGGCCCAAAATGGCAGGAAAGCAAGTAAAAAAGTAACTCTAATCTTTGTTCCATGATTATTATAAGAAATAAAGTGACAGTTAACCAAAAACACCTTTATTTTAGTCTGTAAGAGACCACACTGCTCTTTTTCTGAGATAATCATGATTAACTTACAAAAATGGGCATTTACAATGCATCTTCAAAACATTTCCCTTTAACAGGAAACTCAGCTGCACAGAATCCAAACATTAAAAGGTTAAAACAAATTTTCTATTTTGTTGTCATCATAAGACAAAACAGAATCTAGCATAAGTCAAGGAAATCCATTCATACTTCAGGTCCTTCTCCTCCAGGAACCAGCTGCATAGGAGGAAAAAAAGTATATTATCACCATGACCACTGCTAACACCTAACCTAAAACCCCCAGCACTGAGGGCTCCTCAGCCACCAAAATCACTTTTGCCTCTCTGCCCCTCCTTCATATTCCCATTTTCTCCAGGTCATCCTTATTTGTTCACAATTCCCAAGATCATCACTTAATACTGTGTATCAGCTATGATTCTTGGCAAAAAAGAAATCCTTCAGCTTAATGTCACTTTCAAAAGCTCGGCTTTAGAATCCTGACTAACACAGCATCCCTTTCCCATCATAAGCTGCTCTAGGCCATGAACATTTAGCCAATCAAGTTAGTTCTGTAATCCCTGTCCCACAAAAATAGGCTAACATCTAAATAAAATAGCTTTACTGTGTCTTACCATTGTTATATTATTTCCATTTAGCAGAATCTGATCTAACTTAGTAATTCTTCTTCCTTCTGGTGTGATTTCACTAAATAGACAGATAAAAGAGAGTCAGGATAAACAGCAATAATGAAAGCAACATTTTAATTTCTAAAATGGTTATTCCTGCATACAAATGAATATGAAATCAGGCCATAACACCAATAATTTTCAGAGACAAAGGTTACCCATTGGATAGTATACATTTTTCCCCCAAAGACAACAGAGTGAACTGACTGCACTAGATCCATACCCATTAGGGCTAATCTTCACTTCTTTAAAAAGTGTTGAAACTTGCCAAGGAGACCAAATAAGAAATGAAATGCTTAGCATTCTTACTTTTTTTTCTTTTTTACTATTACTACTAATTCCTATCCATTAAATCACTCTGTAATAAATCCAATTTTAAAAGCAGAGCTATTGAACACAATCTTTATAATGAATTCAATCAAATCATCACTCATATTTTATGCTCTAAAATTAAATGCTCTTACTATCAATTCCTTGTTTTGACCTGAGTCCTAAGATTCCTGGCTGTTTTTATTATTGTTTACCTTAAAGCTCTGTCTTCATTAAATTCATAGCAATTTAATAATTACATTCTGGATAGCCCTCTCGTGTTACTGGTGTCAGTAAATAAAATTTCTATCTTTAAGGACATTCCAACAGCCAGTGTTTTTTCATAATTCATTTCACTCATGCAACATTACAACAACTTAAATTTTTAAAAGATTCCCCCCAATTCTTTAACACTACTTACAACTCAGTGACATCTTCCAATACCATATCTGAAATTTGGTGTTAAGAAAATAAATATTCCTGGTTCAATTTACTCTGATATCTTTGTTTTAATTGTAAGATTTAATACAATGGCTCAAAATCAAAATACCTATAACTAGTAGAAACTTAAGTACACACATAACGCTGAAAATGTTGTAAGTTCTCTGAGAATAAATCGACTTGAATTATAATCATCAGTAGGTACTAATTATAGCCCTTCTTGTTCTCAAATACCAAAGAAAATCCCGTATGACCACCACCTTGTAAAAGGATACTGACAAAATCATCAAATCCTAGAAGCGTACCAACAATTTCTTTATCACTTTTCATCACAATGTGAATTCTTGATCCTATACATTTGTCCACAAGCTCTATGGAGGTTCATTTTTTAAAAAAGGAAAAAATGGGGGGAGAGGAAGAGAGAGAGAGGTTAGCTTATCCTTCATTACTTCAACAAATATTTGAGTGACTACTGGTGCATGTTACTTGCATATGGTGAAAGGTAAAGCAGGGAAAGTAAGTATTCATAACAAAACTTTGGGTGTTATATTACATATCTCTGTTCAATTGTTAACAGAAAAGTTCTCCCTGCGCTGCACTTCCGTCCTTTGTAGAAATTATGGCGACTGTGATTTTATACTATTTTAGATTATTTGAATAACACACTAGACGCTAAACTACGTGAGAGAGGCCACAGCGGTTGTGTTTTCCACATCACTGTATCCCTAATGGACAGTCCCTGACGGAAAGTGGGGACCAAAAAAAAAAAAAAAAAACTTTTAAGTGACACACCACTAAATCACTTTTCTGCTACAAAATATTAAGAACAGGGAGGTATATAAATGTCTTCACTAGATTCTTTCCTGTCATTACCTTTTTGTTGTGATAGCAGCTTGGGTATCTCTTTAGCCGGCATAGCATTATTTGCCACGCTCACTTGTTCTGTAGTCTATCTGTCCGCTGTTTTCTGTGCTCTCTGCAGGCAGTGGCCGTGACTTAAAATTAAATAATCCCAAGCCATGGTATCTAGTACACAGATAACTACTGAATGAATGACAAAAACTAGTTTTCCGGGTTCTTCTTTTAAGGTTCAAGCCAGACCCTGGTGCTTCTCTCAAAACCCGGCCAGAGAGACAAGGTCTAACCTGAGGTACTAAAGTCTAGTTTAAAGAATGGGACTGCTACCCAAACCACAAGGCGAGTTCACAACAAAGAAGGGCAGTGAAGCACTCACGCAGTGTGGACTTTTTCTTGTGACGGTTTGGTAAGTCCCTGGCTCAGGGAAGCCTACCACGCTAAGGAGACCCCGGCGTCCGGGGGCCTGAGATTTGAAGCGAAAGCGACTGCGAAGGAGGGAAGCGGTTGGTGCCAAAGAGTTTCCTAACACTCGGCCACAGACTACCTCGTTCCACAGCCCTAAACTTCAGGCCTCTCGGTCCCCAACCGTAAACTTTAGTTACCCATTCCCACGGGATACAGATTACCTAGAGGAAGCAGCTGCGACGGGTTAGTAGTAGCGTTAGCCGCCATGGCTACGCCGGAAGTGGCCTGCGTTCAGCGACGTTAGGACGGCAAGTTTGAAAGAGCGCGCTTCCGCCCTTTTCCGCTAGGCAGGCTTGACCAATCTGAGGCCGAGCGTGCGATCTGGCCAGTCTAAATAGATCGCACCCGGAAACTTCAATCGCAGGCGGTGAGATCTATCGAGTCTTATCTGTCCACTGAATATTCTACGATCTCGACAACTAGCCACCACCACGCCCCCCCACCCACCAGACGTTTTCGAGGAGCGTTAAAGATAGCCTGGCCGGTAAATAATTCATTAACCCTAAGGCTTTACAATATACGGAAATCTCAAGTTGTTGATTTTCCCCTACAAAGTTGCGTCTCAAATCTATTTATTTATTTATTATAAATCAATTCGTTTTTCCCATTACCAATTAAGTATGTTAAAATTTTCGTGAAAACCATTTTCTTAAGGAATATGTTTTGTTTGTTTTACTAATGAGTCTAGTGGATTTTAAGCCCACAATAACTTTCGGGGGGGGGGCGTGTTTTGGAATACTGTTTTCTTTTAATTTCTACTACTGTTTTTGATTTATTTCCTTGTTATATCAAGGAGTCTAATTATTAGATTTTTTATATTCACTATTTGAACAAACACCACCAGATGTCACTCTATGTTAATATCATCACACTAGAAAATGCTTTGCATTTCTGTTTTGAAAGTAGAAATTTGCTGCCTTTGTTTGTTTTATATTTGTATACCAGGAACTTAGAGCTGAAGAATCTAAACAGGAAAGGCCAGAAGAACATTCATACTAAAACCAATTGTAAAATATCTATAATTCATTGAACACTAGTTCATGTTTTATCCGGATTTCTGTGACAGTCCGAAAGAAAGACGGGAGGCAGAAAAGCTGAGCAAGCAAAGTTTTAATGCTCCCGTACAGCAGCTAAGGCAGAACTCCAAAAAGTGGGGTCTGCAGCTACTGCCAACACAATAAGAGGGGTCTCTTATATAGATCCTAAGCTCAGATTCCAAAGGGTAGACTCATCGCTGTGTCCTTGATGTAAAGCCCAGTTCTTTATCACCTTCGCCTACTCCTTTACGGATTGAAAGGCCCAATTAATTTATCACCCTTGGATGCAAGGCCCAGTTTATTACCACCTTATCACCCATGGATGCAAGGCCCAATTTATTACCACCCTTATCCAGGCTCCTCAGTAACCCTCTGCACTTGGTGGCTCCCAACAGTTCAGTGAACACTATTTGACAGGCATTTTGCTAAATATAAAACTATAAAGACCCCTGCTTTATGTGAATTTAAGGATGAGTGGGGAAGAAAGATAGCAAGCAAACATTATGTGCAAAGCACATGAAATTGAATATAAAAAGCAGAAAAGACCTCAGCCTCCAGGATCCTTGAGAATTAAATGACTTAAAGCAAACATCAATAAGAAGCTTCAAAGGGCTTTACTGGTGAGCTCTTCAATTCAAAGCCCCGCTGAATTCAACAACTTCTGCTAAATACCAGGCCAATCTGCCTTTTATTTACTTCATAAATATTGAGTAGCTATGCCTAGATATGCCTAGAAACTTAGAAACACACTTACTCTTTAAGTAAGATGTTAGGAAGAAGTTCCTCATATTTATTTGACTTTGGACCACTTATTTAAAAGTCTCAATTTACCCACTGGGGGAAATGAGGATAATTGTGTCTATTAACTCATGAGGATTAAATAAGATCGTCTGTGAAAAGTGGTTGGCAGAAGATTGACACATATTAAGCCCTATTTATTACTTATCTTTATTTCCGAATACCTAATATCATGGTTGGCTTAAAGTAATACAAAAGCTAGCATTAATAGCTGGCTTCATATGTATTATATTTTTATGACCAGACATTAACACCAAGGCAGCAATGACTTCAGCTTAATACACTATTTCTACCAGTTTCAGTTTCCTACCACTGTAGGATCTCAAGAATATTCTTTAAATTAATTAATTATCACTGTTTCACATGTCTTTTGCAGCAACTTGGATGGAGCTGGAAAAGATCATGTAGTGTGAGATAAGCCAGAAAGAGAAAGAAAAATACCGGATGGTTTCACTCATA